ATGAACCATTTAGTATCTCGTCACTAATTTCTATAATTTGAATGTTGTCTTTCTTGATGCTTTTATTTAAAATACATAATCTCAACCCGATTGTCAGTAATTCTCGACATAGTGTGGAATACTGCAGTTATTAGATTAGTAGAGTGATAGTCTTGACGTAGTGTAGACTATCCAGGATAAGCCAGACCCAAATCGAAATCGCTCGCCAAATCTACACGCCTCTTTCGACCGAAAGCCATCCGATCGTTACATGAAGCCGATCTTTGATTAGCGACAGACTCGCCGACTTAGGACCTCTCAATATTTACCAGGCCAAAGAAGTGTTGGTGATCTAATGTTATTATCGTTATCAGAAGAATATGATTCTAAAAAAGATACAATCAACACATTGTATTACATTAAAAAGTTTAGCTCCTTTATACAATCAAGTTTAAATATTAGCAAGAAATATCTTTTTGCTTGAATGCTATAATAACATTACAGGATCTTCTGGTAAAAAGCAAGAATTCAATGAAGAGGATCTAGATGATCAATCTCAAAGTGATTCTTTATCAAGATCTAGTAAACAACCGAGAACAAAAAAAACAGGAATGATAATGATAATAGTTTATTTCAATCCAAGATGACTGGTTTTTTTAAATATCAATTGAAATATAGATAGAATGTAATAGATATTTTAATTTCATTTCTACTTTCTCTTGTTATTAATTTGTAACTCAGGTAAAATAAATTGGGTAGAATCAATTTGTAACTCTGGTAAGGTTATTAAACTTATCTAACAACTTACTTTACATGGTAATTTACGAGTTATGTATTAAGTTAAGTTATGGACTGAGTAAAGTCGCCACCAAAAAAGTTTCGAACATGACATGACAAATATATTGAGCACTAAAAATTCATGTAACTTAACAAAAAAATACAAACAAAAAATTTAGACTAACAAAATAATAATCATTTTATTTATTTCGAATAATTCAATAAACATAATAAACATAATATTTATTGCAGCCAGAAAGTATTGTGATTATGGTTTTTCTAAGTATTTGGAATATTCTATTGCCTTTTAAAATGGTTTTAATCCTCCAATTTATGCAATAGCACAAAGTTTTTATTAATACTATCGAGCTATTTGTTACTATTTGGTACTATTTTGATTCATTATGTTTTCTTCAATAATTTTTTGTTGTTGCATCCTGGATTTACATAAATAATCAGAGTTATAATCTTCTGGAAGTGAATTAAAATAAATATACAAGGTTTTCTGGTGCAATTGCATTTTTTCGATTAATTTTTATAGATTTTCATTCTTTTTTTGTTCATTGTTAGTAGAAATTTGGTTATGGCAATTAACATATATTGATTTTTTTAAACAATCGAATATCATAGCTACATATAAAAGTTAAAAATATATTAGGTAAATCAATAATAACGTCAAAGTTATTCATGAGACAAAATTACATATATTCTGAAATTTTGGAATAATTTAGATAAAGTTTTATTAATACACTTTTACAATTTACCTTTAGACGAACAAAATTAAAAAAATTAAATTATAAAAGTGTATTAATAAAACTTTATCTAAATTATTTCAAAATTTCCAGAATATATGTAATTTTGTCTCCTGAAAACTTTTACTTTAAACATTATTATCGATTTACTTTAAATTTTATATGTAGTTATGATAGTTTTTAGAAAATTTTTATTTGTTAATAAATAATAAAATGATTTATAAAAAATATTTATAATAATAAACCAATTTATTTAAAATAATTATAATAATGATGTGATAATATAGAGGTAGTTTATATATTGGTAAATATAAAATTGTAATAGTGACTATAATATAAATGTGCTTATATAGAGGTGAAATTTATAATAAAAAAGGTTGGTAAATTTACAAAGGTGATTATATTGAATTTGTGACTATATAGGAGGTGTCTATATAAAGATTAGACTGTAGTCAATTAAAATAATAATTCAAGTTCCATTTTTAACAAGATAATTTCTTCTTGTATATTAAGAAGAGTTTGAATTTGCTCATTATTTAATTCCTCTTCTTTTATTAAATTCTGCTTATAATCTTCTAAACTATCAGTGGAACTATTTTTTAGAACAATTTTTACTTTTTCATCTAAAAGTTGGGTTAATAAATTTTGTCCTGTGGTACTAAGATCACTTTTAAATTCATTAACAAATCTTTCTAATTGTGTTTCCTTAATTATTGTTTCTGCAATTTTTAATTGTTTATTTAAATTATCAATTTTCGTTTTTTTTTGTTTTATATGTTCACCTAATTGTTGCAATTTGGTTAATTTATTACTGTTCACTTGTTGAAGGTTTTTAATAACAATAGGACTTTCATTTAGCTTGTTTAAAATCTTAGTAAATAGGTTTGAAGTATTTCTTTTTGAACTAGTCCTATCTTTAAATGGTTTGTAATGTCTTTCAGTATATCTAAATCTGATTTCTTGATTATAT